ATTCTTTGCTCCCTTTTGTATCAATTTGTTTGTCTTTTGCTCATTTTCCTGGAAAATTGATCCCTAATCTATGATATGTCTTGTGAGTATTGTTTCCTGGTTTGTCCTTCTTTTGTTGACTCTACTTTTTTTGGCCAAAAGTTTTAAATTTTATGTAGTCAAACATATCAATCTTCTCCTTTATGGCTCTGGATGTTGATCAAGACAATTTTGTCTCCCTGAGCCTCCAAACCTAACAAATCCTCAACACAGAAAAATAGATCAGGTTATTTGAGTTTGTCTTTTATTTTAAAAAAAAAAAATAGTTTTATTGAGATATAATTAGTATGCCATATAATTCATCCATTTTAAATGTACATAGGCTGCCTAAAGAATGAGCCACTCTGTCTTGGAGGAAGTACAAACAGAATGCTCCTTAGAAGCAAAGTAAGTGAGATTTCATTTCACTTACCTTGGACACGTTGTCAGGAGGGATCAATCCCTGGAGAAAGGACATCATACTTGGTAAAGTAGAGCATCAACAAAAAAGAGGAAAACCCTCAAGGAAATAGATTGACATGGTGTAAGACCAAACATCATTTCATTCTGTCATACATAGGGTCACTAGGAGTCAGAGCTGACTCAACAGCAGCCAACAAGTATGTTCACAGAGTTGTGTAACCATCACCACAATCAATTTTAGAATGTTTTCATTACCTCAAAAAGAAACACCATACCCTTTAGCTGTAACCCCAAATCCCCATCTCCCCAAGCCCTACGCAACCACTAATCTACTTTCTGTATCTATGTATTTGCCTATTCTGGACATTTCATATAAAATGGACTCTTTTTTTAAATAAAAGGTAAGATAATGGCAATTTCCTTTGTATATCTTTTCTTGAATACTTTCAGAATCTAACTGGAGGATAAAGGATAGAATGAAATGATTTTGTTATACGCTGAACATCAAATAATGATCCTTTGCTCTTTCACTCTGATTTTTATTTTAGTGATTCTAGTATGGCCCAATCACTAAGTGAAGTTTCTGGCAATATGGAAGTCCTGGAGGCCAGTGATGAAGGTAAGTAAATCCATAATACCTTGATAACTATAATTATATTTGTTTACTATGCTTAACCCTTAGGAAAAAGAACCAAGTCTCTCTCTCTCTCTCTCACTCTGTCTCTCTCACACACAGAGACACAAACAAACTCATCAAATATCTAATAAAATTAGATTCAGTTGTCCACATTTAGTTTTTCAGTCTTCTAACCTTTTCTGTTCCATCTCCAATTTTCTCTGAGTGGAGAGATTGATCTGAGACCCTACAATATTCTTTGGGGATGACTGCCAGGTTCTACTTATTAAAGCAATAGACATATTTCTACTTAAGCAGAAAGAAAGATCAGAACAGACCATGATCTGAGAGATCCAACTGAGGTTTGACTGTAGATAGAAATCTAGATTTAACCAACAGATACATTGGTAATTTGAGGTCTAAATGGGTAATAGAAGCAGAAGATGCCACCACAGCCTGTTTCATATAATTCAATTTCTAAAAATTCTCTTTTGAAAAACTTATTCAGATGTGTATCCATTGCTTAAATTGTGACCTTTCCCACTTACAAATGACAGGTGAAGGTGACGATAAGGGGAATATTAGAAAAGGAGGCAGAAGTCACTAAACAATAACAAGCTTTATTGACACACACACAAGAAGAAAAGAACCATAAACATAAAAAGAGACATTGAGTGTAAAGACAGAACTGAATTTGACAATTCATTGGTTTGTTTTTAATTTGGGGCTGAGTTTTCTTTAGTTGTGTATGGTGCAGAGGACTTTGTCTGGAAGGACAGAGAAAAGGGGAACTTCCCGTGGCTTCCTGGTGGCCTGTTTTCACTGATCATGCGTGGCAAAGGATGGTGATCCTGGTACATGGATCCTTGAGGGCAGAGCGTGGGTCTTCTCCGTCTCTGCATCACCATCGTTTAATATTGGCTCTCCAAGAGAGTGATTAAACCATCAAAAAACATTTAATAAATGAATGGATAAATAAACAAATAAATAAAAGACCTCATTACCGAGGCAGACCCAGGTACCAAACTCTCTGGCCTAGCTTTCTGGATATGAGCTAGACAGATGCCCACAAAAGAAGGCAGCAATGCAGAGCATCTTGATGAAGAGTGCAGATAAGGAAATGCCTTTTCTTTGTTCTCATGACTTTTTTCTAGAAAGCCAATCATTTGGATACATTTTTAGAGCTAGTCAGTGCTAGTCAGAGAATAAGGGGGCTATTGGGGTACTGATGAAAAGAAAGGCTACTTAGAAATGTTTTCTTTTCAAGCAGCAATGCAAGAGAACAAGGTCATCATTATGAGATGCATTTTTAAGGCTCATTGAGTTCAATCCAAATGGGCTGCCTGTGTATATGGTGGATAAGAAAATATACAACATAGAAGCAATGATTTATTTATTAGATTTAGCAATCTCTTCTTCTCTGAGGGAAAAAGTGCTTTCAGTGGGCTGTTGTCTGGCATGCGATACACTGCAGGCCGTCATTGGATAAAGATGTTGAAAGTTACTTGCTGTTTAGAAGTGTAGAGTTCTTGGGCTGGGACAGTGAGATCAATGGCTCTATTATAGAAGTACAGACAGCTATCAGCTTCCATATGTAAGCTCACTGACCACAGCTGCTGTACACTGTGGGGCATCAGTTACCCAATGTACAGGTGACTTGTATAAACATTGCTGGATTCTAGTGCTAGTTTTGACCCATACCAGCTGCCTATGTCTAGCTATCCTTTGCACTTTTATTAGCTTTTGAAAAACCAGCCTGTGTAGGGCTCAGCTGCTGGCAATTTAAAGGCACCCCCTCCCCTTAAAAAGAAAGTTTTAAAGGCCAATTTATACACTTGAATATATGACAACTACCATATATTCTATTCGAGGCTCAAAAGTAGCATAACATGTGGACAGTGCCCTGCTTTGTATCTCACTCCTGGGCCTGAGACCAGGGCTGCTGTTTATGTAGGGGGCACTGATGCAGTTGTAAGTGGTGCGGTCTCCTAAGCCAAAGCTTGCAGCTGGCATTTTATGTCTGGCAATGGGTTCCTCATTAAGGCTGTATCATAATGACCGATTCCAGTCATTGCCCTGGATCAATGAAGAGCCAGCCACCATGTTTGAGGGTTACCAACTCCTCATCAACAAATCTGCACTGTCACCACACCAGAGCCACCCCACAGGGAAGAATAGAAACATTCTATTCCTTCCACTGCCCCTGGTAGAAAGAGATGCACATTGCTTATGATATTTGGAATCCTCATGGGAAAATTGTTCAGCAAAGAATGGGCAAGTGAGGAAAATTGGAATATATACATACTTAATTTTTGGCACCTGCTACAATTCTAACCAGCCACTCCTCGGAAGGAAGGTTGGGCAATCCTACTTCCGTAGTGATACTGCCTCGGAAACCCAATGAGCGGTCGCTATGAGTCAGGGCTGACTTGACGGCACATAACAATAACAACAACAACACAATTCTAAAGTCACTAGTCATTTTGTTCATTTAGGAACATAAAAATGTGTTAACACATAATTTTGTGTGTTCATACAATGATTGTGTTTGCTAAATTCAGGGTTTTTTGTATCTTTAATACATTTTTTAGAGCAGTTTTAGTTTTATAGAAAAATTGCACAGACAGTACAGAGGATTCCCATATCCCCTCTCTCCCCTATACAGTTTCTCCTATAAGGAACATCTTGCATTAGTGTGGTGAGTTTGTTCCAACTGATGGATCAATATTAATATACCATTATTACTTGAATTCCATAGTTTACACTAGGGGTCACTCTTTGTGTTGTACACTTCTATGGGTTTGGGCCAACACACAATGCCATGTGTCCACCATTATAGTACCAGACAGAACAGTTTGACTGCCCTGTGCTTCACCTCTTCATCCCTCCTTCTTTGCCTTGAATCCCTGGCAATGACTGATCTTTTCACTGTCCCTATAGTTTTTCCTTTTCAAGAATGTCATATAGTTGGAATCATACAGTATGTCGCCTTTTCAGAATGGCTTCTTTTGCTTGTTGTTGTGTGCTATCAAATGAATTCCAACTCATAGAGACCCTGTATGACAGGGTAGAATTGCCCCACAGGGGTTCCTAGGCTATAATCTTTATGGGAGCAGATTGTGAGGCCTTTTTTCCCACAGAGCCTCTGGTGGGTTCGAACCACTGACCTTTGGATTAGTAGCCCACTACTTAACAACTGTACCACCAGGATTGCTTTTCTTTCACTTGTTGTTGTTGTGTGCTGTCGAGTCGGACCCGACTCATAGTGACCCCTCCTTGGGTTGCTGAGACAGTATCACTACAGAAGTA